CCCCCTACCCCGCTCCCTGCAGCCCAGTGCCCCTGGCCAAGCCCCCCGCCCCACTCCCTGCAGCCCGACGCCCCCTACCCCGCTCCCTGCAGCCCAGTGCCCCTGGCCAAGCCCCCCGCCCCACTCCCTGCAGCCCGACGCCCCCTACCCCGCTCCCTGCAGCCCAATGCCCCTGGCCGAGCCCCCCGCCCCACTCCCTGCAGCCCGACACCCCCTACCCGGCTCCCCACAGCCCAGCGTCCCCTGCCGAGCCCCCGCCCCGCTCCCGGCAGCCCGGCGCCCCCGACTGAGCTCCCACTCTGCTCCCCCCAGCACAGTGCCCCCCGCCGAGCCCCCGCCCTGCTCCCCGCAGCCCAGTGTCCCCCCACCGAGCTCCCATCCCGCTCCCCGGCGCCCCCTGCCAAGCCCTTGCCCAGCCCCCGCCCCGCTCCCCTCAGACCGGTGCCCCACACACCAATCCCCGGTGGTCCCCACCAAGCCCCCGCCCCGCTCCCCCCAGCCCAGCGTCCCCTGCTGAGCTCTGCCCCACTCCCCGCAGCTCGGCGCCCTCGGCACTTCCCCGCCCATCCCTGTTGCTGGCTCCTGGCACCTCCCACCTGCCCCCACTTACATGCGACTTGGACCAGTAGATGAACACCTCGCCCACCATGCGGAACAGCTCCTCGGCGTCCGAGTTGGGCTCCATCAGCCACTTGGCCCTGGGGACACACTGGGCACCATCAGCTGATGCCCGACCTCCGCCTGGCACTGACAGGGCCCCCTGGGCCCGGGGGGGCTTTCCGAGCTCTGGCAGGATTTGAACCAGGGATCCTGCTACCCAAGGCTGGAGCTGCTGGAGTTCTGAGGGGGCGTGGCTCCCCCAGGCTGGGCCCCGCCTCCTCACATGGCACCTGAAGCAGGCCCCGCCCCCTTCCATAGCATGCCCTGGCCAGGCCCCGCCCCTTCCTGTGGCAGACACAGCAGGCCCCACCTCCTGCCGTGGTTCTCCCAGGCCAGGCCCCGCCCCCTGCCGTGGCTTTCCCGCCCAGGCCCCGCCCACCTGTTGTTGTCCACGTAGCGGATGAGCAGCGGGTAGAGGGCGTACAGGTCCCGGCAGAGCACCGAGAACTCGTCCCGGATCAGCAGCTCCGCGTCCTCCGACTCGGTCTTGGCCTCCAGCCGCAGCTGCTCCTCCTCGGCCACCACCTTCCCCGAGCGCTTCTTCAGCTTATCCATGGTGGGGATGAAATGCGAGCGCAGCAGCTCGGGCCGCGCCTTGCTCACGATGGGCTGGGCGAAGACTGGGTGGGAAGCGGGGCGGGGGTGAGCCAGTCAGCCGGTTTCCCCCCGGGGCTGGATCAGAGGGGAAAGGTCCTGCGCCCCATTCCCTGCCCCCCTGCAGGGCTGGATTGGAGCTGGTGCCCCCTAGAGGAGAAAGGCCTCATGTGCCATTCACTGCCCCCCACCCCGAGCCAGTCAGCCCCCCACATGGGAGCCAGCACCCCCTGAAGGGGAAAGGCCCTGCACCTCATTCCCTGCCCTCCTGAGCCAGCCAGCCCCCGTCCCCCGGATCAGAGCTGGCGCCCCCCCAAGGGGAAAGGCCCCGTGTCCCATTCCCCGCCCACTTGATCCAGTCAGTCCCTGCCCTGTGGCTGGGTCAGGGCTGGTGCCCCCTAGAGGGGAAAGGCCCCATGTCCCATTCCTCACCCCCCTGAGCCAGCCAGTCCCCTGGGTCTGATCTGGTGCCCCACCCGAGCCCCTGCCCCTCCCCCAGTACCTGCCAGCCTCTTCATCCAGGAGGCCTCGTCAATGCCCAGGTTGTTGACGATGATGCGGAGGATGTTGCCCAGCAGGGTGTTGAGGTGCTCGGAGGTCACCTGGGTGCACCAGGGCCCCTGGGGGACGGTCTCGGGGCCCCGCTCCCACCAGCGGGGCAGGTAGTTGCAGAGCATGGGCAGCGTGACCTCGATGACGTGCGGCATCTCGGTGTAGCGGGCGCCCGACTCCGCCAGCCCGCTGATCTCCTTCATGAGCCGCTCCAGCTCCGGGATGTCGGGACACATCTCCTCCACGCAGCTGGGCAGCCCGAGGACTGTAGGGGACAGGCGTGAGGGGGCAGCCCCAGGGACGCCCCGTGGGGAGGGAGCGTTACCCGGGGATCCCACGGAGCGGGCGGAGTTACAGGGGAAACCCTATGGGGGGGGGTCCCCTGGGAATTCCTGGGACCCAGTGACATCTCCAAGGGGGGATGGAGCCACAGAGCGCGGGGCCCTTTGGGCTCTGGGGCCCGTCCCAAGGAGAACCCCCAAACCGCAGACACAGGGGGGGCCACCCCTGTGTCTGTGGTGGGCCGACAGGCGTGGGGGGCCGATGGGGTGTGTGGGAGCTGACGGGGTGCGGGGAGCCCACGGGGGCACTGGGGGCTGACAGGCATGGGGGGGCCGACGGGGGCGGGTGGGGGGGTTGACGGGGCGGGGGGGGACTCACTGGCGCGCTCCCGCGGCGACTTGGTGGTGTAGACGGAGAATGGGTTGTGCATGTTCAGATGCGGCTCCAGGAAGGCCACGGGCATCGCGGCTGCCAACCGGGCCAGGCACTCGCCCAGGGCAGGGCGCTGCCTGGGGAGGGGGAATCAGAGACCCTTCAGCTGGACACTCAGCCCCGGCCTGGCTCTGTCCCCCCGCCGGCTCCATCGGACCTGCGCCCTCCCCTCCGACCCTCCCTGGCTCTATTGGACCTGCGCCCTCCCCTCCGAACCCCCCCGGCGCCCTCCCCTCCGACCCCACTCCCAGCTCCATGGCCCCAGCGCCCTCCCCTCCGACTCCCCCTGACTCCACGGCCCCTGCGCCCTCCCCTCTGACCCCCCCAGCTCCATGGGCCCTGCGCCCTCCCCTCTGACTCTCCCCGGCTCCATCGCCCCTGCGCCCTCCCCTCTGACTTCCCCGGCTCCGTCGCCCCTGCGCCCTCCCCTCTGACCCCCTCCGGCTCCATTGCCTCTGCGCCCTCCCCTCCGACCCCCAGCCCCATCACCCCTGAGCCCTCCCCTCCGATCCCCCACGCCCCAGCCCCCCAACTCACCGCTCCACGTAGGGGTTCCTGGTGGTGCCCAAGGAGTAGATGCTACACAGGGTCCGGTAGCAGGAGACTTGGACGTCGTCCACTGGGGGAAGAGGGGGCAGATCAGAGGGGGGGGCATTGCCTAGCTCTTGGCGGTGATTCACCATGGAAACGGCGGCCCTGCGGCTGGGGTGGCCCCCGTGTGGGGTGGGGAGGCGCCTAGCGCTGCCACTTGGTGCCGGTTACGTGGACTGTGTGGGGCCTGGGCTGCCAACTCCTGCTGGGCCATGGGGGTCCGGCCCCACCCCTGGCACCCCTCCAAATTCCCTGCCCCCCTCCCTGGCACCCCCCG